CAAAGCCATTCCTGTAGTATAAATTGTACAAAGTAGCATACAGAAAAATAAGTTTCGACTTCACCATCTCAGAGAATTAGAGTTACGATCTCAGTGACCCGAGAAGTTCGAAAGCGTCGAACTTAGCGAATTATAACCGATCTTAGCTTTGCCAATAGGCCTGACTCGTCGAGTGAATTATCTCCGCCATCGATCCAATTAGCTCCGGTGAGTCTCACATAGCGAAATAAAATTAACCAAGTTTCTCTAGCAATTTCTACTCCCGTGGGCCCGAACCTACACTCGGTTTCGTGGTTTGCGACTTTGTCTGCGACTTTCCGGAGATAAATACTCCGGAGCGTCCCTTAGTGTTTGTTTCAGGCGTCAAGGTTTTGTTTTATTTTTCTAGGTCTTCCTACGGACTACCCTACGGCGTCTTACTCCTCCTTTCCCCCTCGAACTATTAAATACCCTTCAGTTGTCTCGGACCGCCTTCACCCATATCACGGGGTTTAGGTTTATTTCCTTTGGTCCTTGGTGATTGTTGTGTGTCAGTGCATATCAACGCACACCAAGTAGCACTGTGATCTGCAAGCCACTTTGGTTAATATCTATGAAAACATATGACTGGAATTGCACATACTCCGCCACTCCTAGACAGGAAAGCTGCAATCAGCCAGGATCATGGGAGAGCTCTTAAAGTGTGTCATAACCTACCAGTAGATTTCATTGAGGGCTTCAACCTTGCCAAAATCCGTGATAACATAGTTGTATATGAAGTCAATACAGAATGCCATATGCAGTGTCTCAAAAATCCTGAATGAGCAGATGAGGATGTGCCCCTGAGCTCTAGATAAAGACAAATGGGGCTATACCATATTGTGGCTACCTGTCATTATCAATTAACTGAAGCAGTATTCAAATGATTGGGTTGACTGTTGCATACCATAGTTTTCAGTGGCCAGCTATCTTTTGTATAGTTCTGATAGTATAGGAATGTCTGTGTTGTTGTCACACCATACAAGCTATGCTCTTATAAGTCAATTGAGGTTTCCCCATACATATTCATAGTTTGCTTACATTGCAGCCATGAAGATACTCACCAGAAATGTCCCAGCAATGTCAGTTACAACAGTTGTAGCCATGATGGATACTAGTAGAAAGGTGTGCTAGCTACAGTCCTCTGAGTTTTCTGGCTTATATGCAGGAACACAGAGCTACCCATGCCAAAGTTCTCCAGAATTGATGAATCAGATGAGCCAAGGCACTGAAGTGGGCAAGTACAATCAAACAAGTTCATCATCATCTGCAATGGTCATCAGAAATCAGCCTTGAGAATCAGAATGTGTTATTCATTGTATGTTCACTGTGGCATGGCTTGATTGCCTGAGGTGATAGATTGAATACTGTTGTGTTACATCCATTTGACAGGCTATTGGTATTTGACAGATTTGTGCACATCCCCCTGGCTCCCCTGATTGTTAAAGTGTCTTCAACAGGTGATCTCCCAGTGCTGGTAACACCTGTGGACCTTCATGCCCATAATATTGCTGTGGGTATGTCACGTTCAAACCCTCAATCCTAGTGTGCATCTGTTTGGAAGGTGATGACAGGATGCACTGAGTTGCTCAAGTCAATCATAAGATGCAAATGTTTACTCTAGCACATGAAGCACAGCATATTCAGAGTCACTTGCCTGAGGGGACACCAGGTACCAATGCTTGTTTTTTGATAAGAACAAATCCCTAAGGGGTATTGCCATATTACCATTTCCAGATGATTGACAGGGGTATACAAATGGGAGGCTGAGAACATCAGTCAACATCCCCCATGACTACCACTCCGAACTTTAATCTAGACAACACATGGGAGTTTTGAGACTATAAATACTGTCTCTATGTATATTTGGAACAGTTCAAAGAGCAGAGAGCCTGATATGGATGCCCCTGGCCAGGGAAAGAACTCATGCCCTTCAGATCTGTGTGAGAACAAATATGGGAAGAATTTCACCATATGTATATGTCATACACCTTGTATTGTAACCATCATCTTTCCTCCTAACAAGGAAGGCAATTTGATCAGGACTACATTCAACCTCATCCATAGTGTTCCAGGCCACAACTTGGACCTGATTGGCCATATCAAGTTCCACATATGTTTATCCATGACTTCATTTGCAACACTGAATTTTACACAGAAATACAGAGCTTGATCCAGCAGGCCTAGCCAGTTCTTGAGATCATGCAGAGCAAGGCTTGGCTGGAGAAGCTGTAAATTGATGACATTAATAACTTCCCTCTTGTAAGTTGTCCACAGATTTTGCTACTGCCCAGCAGGACCGGGCTTCTTTGATACATCTATCTTCTCACATCGGGAAAACCAGAAAGCATCTTATCATCTTAAGGCTTAAATATGATATTCCGTAGCATGAGTCATAGCTATCCAGTGTGCCCCAATACTTGGTAGTCCTAAGGTCCACTTGATTTGAATGCAACAAAGCAACCCTACATACAGTATTATAGAAAGCTTGAGTTTTCATCTTGGTACTTGAAAACAGGCTCTTAGATCTAATCAGCTCTTACATCTTATTACATCTTATCATGTCTTGCTAAGATGCTTAAGACACTTATTTCGAATCTTTGACGTATACAAGAGATGTTTAGCTCCTCCTTGCTTTGGTGTGCAAAGTTCACAGCCTGTAGCTGCTGTGGAGTGCAATTCACAGCATGTAGCTGCTGCGGTGAATTGAGATGGAATTTAGTACTGATTGTTTACTTTGATATGCAAGTGAGATGCAAAGTATAGTCTATGCATGGACCGGAGTCTAGCTGCGCGAGATAATGCCAAGTGTAGCCGTGTGCCACTGGAGCCAAACATGGCACGCCGGAACTTGCCGGTTGGTCGAAAAGTGTGACGTATTGTGGGTTTGGCATAACCCCTCTCAAAGGAGGGGCACAATTTCCTGTTTTGTCGATGGCCAAAGCCTCTGTACAGTTGAGTCTGTGGAAACCCATACTGGTTCGTGGACCTAAAAAGATATGGACTATCACAGATTATGGGTTACTACACCTGTGACAGTGTGTGATACTATAGTGAACGTGACACAGCCTTGTCCCGACTGTTGCTCGCATGTGGGACATCAACGAAACGACAATTTGCACCCACTTTGGGACGAGGTTAGGATATGAATGGCATTTCATACCATACATGACCATAGTGACACTCATTTATAGGTCAAAATCCCCCATTATGTGCTAATAATATACCAGATTATAGGTCATGATTATGGCTTTTGAAGGGAACCGACTGCGTGGACCACCAAATCCTATGGGTTATTGCAGCTTCTGGGTTATGAGGGGTATGGGTTCTGACAGACTCGACTGTATTCTCATGAAGACCAGGCACAAGAGGTCCTCGTGTATGTTTGGCAGTTGACTTGCCGGTTCCATTGACCAAGTTTCGGGTTCATTCATTATGTAGGGAGCCTACCTGCCGTGCTGGCATTCCGGAACTTCTTCCGATGGACAAATGCCTGCTGTGTGGATTCCAACAGTCTGAGTATCTGATTTGGCGGGAGCGAATTCAGTGAGCCCGGACATCAGGCTGCTTCGTGTTCGATTCAGGCTGGCTGTGACTGCCAACGAAAAATAGCTGTGATGGACCCAAGAATACTGCTGATGATGCCGTTTCTATACTGTAGGGCCCGGACCATAGTCTGACCGAATGATAACTAGGAGCCTCGGGGTGCTCAAGAGACGCCGGACTGGATCGACATACAAAGATGCCTAGAAGTACTTATATCTGCACGCATGCAGGTCAATGGACACCCTTACTTTCGCACCTTCGTTGAAACCTATTTCCACAAACACAGGAACGTTCCTGGACGGCCAATTCGACTGAAGGCGAGATGGACGGTAGGCCAGTACCCCGGCTTGACGGTTCCATGAATGTCTACCCCGGCTTTGTGGACTTTCACCACAAGCATAACCCAGACCGTACATGCGCGCAGTTTGCTCTGGACGATGGTTCCATCGTCCGCATCTCGTTCGAGGAGTTCGCCCGTGCCACGCATCGAGTTGCGCGGTCCCTGCGATCGGATGGAAGAATGCGCAACGGCGAGGTTGTCGCGCTCATCGCGCTGTGCGACACGGTGATGTACATGGCTTTGCTTGTGGGAATGATCAGAGCAGGGCTTGTAGTGAGTGCTTCTGATATCTGTCGCGGACATGTGGATTCAACGCGAATGTTATGGGTGAAGCCGTTCCCGATCTCGCCGCGGAATTCAGCACCTGCGATATACAACCTGCTCTCAAAAATAGGCTGCCACCGTGCGGTCACAACCAAAACATTCCTTAAGCCCCTTCTCGAAAGCTGCGAGGCCGAGTTCGCGGGCAAGGGATATGAACTAGCGATCGACGAAATCCCGGCGTTCACCGATGTCTACCCGTTACTGGGCAAGGAAACTGCCAATGACCCATTTGAGCCATTTGCTTTGGAGGATTGGCATCCTGCCGTTGACGACGTCACTTTGTATCTGCACTCGTCTGGCTCTACTGGGTTCCCGAAGCCCATTCCGCAGACACACCGCACTGTGCTGCAGTGGTGCTCGCTGCGTGCGTCGTACCGCCGTACACTTACTAACGACTGTCTGCTGACTGTGATTGCAGCATGCTCCACCGAGGGTCGATACCACCCATGTGAGCTCGTCTGGGGCGCAATGATGACCCCGACATTCCACACCTTCGGGCTGTACATGCAACTGTACAGCGGCCTTGTCACAGGGTTTGCGACGTCGGTGTTCCCGCCGAAATATCCTGCGCCCCCGGTCATTCCGACGCCGGAGAATACGCTCGCAGCGCTCAAGGCGACGGGTTCGAACACAGCGATCGCGGTTCCGTCGTTTTTCGAGGTAAGAGGGGTGAGAAGTCTGGGGGATGTGCTCATGCATGTTTCGTAGGCGTGGGCGCACTCGGCCGAGGCGATCGACTTCCTCGCCACCATGGAGATCTGCGTCAGTCCTCCATCCACTTATATTGTGCCAGAACGTCGGACTCGTTAACGCCCAATTCCATAGTCATTCGCTGGCGGACCTTTATCTGTTAAAGCCGGAAACGCCCTCGTCGCACGCGGCGTGAAACTGAACACAACGTATGGCGGGACCGAGTTCGGTGCGCCCTCGCATATGTTCGACATCATCCCCGAGAACAAGGCGCCGGGGCTGATTTACAAGGAGCCGAAGGAGTGGTCGTGGACACGCCTGTCGGCGCGGGTCAAGTCGAGGTGGATCGACCAGGGGGACGGGACGTATGAGCTGCACATGTTGGTGAGTTCTCTGTTCGGTGGCTGGAGGGGTGACTGCGTGTTGAAGGATTGTATAGACGAACGAGAATCATCAGCTTTCGGTGGAGAACTTGCCTGACACAAAGGGCTACGCGACTTCCGACCTTTGGGAGAAGCACCCGACGATAGAGGGGCTTTGGCGTCTGTGAGTTGATCGAATGTGTACGCGTTCTGCTGGTTACGCTAACCCGGGCCAGGGTGGGGCGCACCGATGATGTGTTGGTACTAGCTTCCGGTAGAGTGATTCAGCATTCACAATGGGTGGGTACTGACCGTTTCTGTATAGGCGAGAAAACCGTTCCATCTCCAATGGAGGGCCACATCCTGCACAATCCTTTAGTCCAGGGTACCGTGATGTTTGGCCGGGGTCGCGATCAAGTCGGCATTCTCATCGAGCCGCACCCTGCACATGTAATCGACCCGAAGGACGAGAAAGCTGTTGTCGACTTCCGCAATAAGATGTGGTAGGTCGACGCAGCCTATGTGCACCAACTTGAGTGTGATCTGATGGGCACAGGCCGAGCGTGGAAGAGGCCAACAAGGAAGCACCGGCCTTTAGTCGCATATTCAAGGAAATGATACTGGTGACTGATCCCGCCAAGCCAATGGCACGCGCGGCGAAGGGAACTGTTATGCGCAAAATGACACTTGGTTTGTACGCCGAGGAAATCGATGCGATGTTAGTACAATGTTTGTACAGAAGAGATCGTTTGGAAGCTGAAACGATATGTCGGATAGGTACGACGCCGTAGAGTCGAGCATGAACATCGAAGGCGCCGACCCGCCTGCCGCATGGACACCGCCCGCGCTCGTTGAGTGGCTGTCGATACAGGCGAGACAGATCAATGGAGGGCGGGCGGTCGGCCCTCAGGATGATCTATTCAACAAGGGCTTTGACAGGTGACAGCGAAACATATCTACGTACAGTTCCAAAGACGTTTTCGCTGACACGTATATTCCAGCTTGAGCGCGACATTCCTGCGTAACAGGATCATTGGCGCTCTGCGCAAGTCGGCGGAGCCTGGTGCGAAGCAGGCATTGGCGGGGGTCACGCAGAACATTGTGTACACGAATCCGTCGATTGTGCAACTCGCGGGCGCGGTCGCGGCACTGCTGAGGCCGGAGAGCGTCAATGAAAAGGCGTCGCCCACGGATGCGATGGAGGCGATGGTGGAGAAGTACTCGGCTCAGTTCCCGAAACCCGTCAGCCCGGAATCACCGCCAGGGGACGGTGCCGTGGTGCTCCTGACAGGCTCGACGGGCAGCTTGGGCTCGTATATCTTGGCTGCGCTGCTGGGTGACGACAGGGTGAAGAGGGTGTATGCATTCAATAGACTCTCGGCGACGAGCCCGACTGTCGACAGGCAGAAGGCTGCGTTTGTGAATAGAGGCCTGTCGGGGGATTTGTTCACATCGAGCAAGGTGGTCTTTGTTGACGGTGACGCGAGTGTCCCGGACCTTGGTCTGTCGAGTGACATGCGTACACACGACGCGGTGCGTTTGGATGTTCCTGACTGCATGCATAGCGATGCTGACGATTTATATGTTCCCGTCAGATACGAGATTCCGTCACACACGTCATACATAACGCATGGAGGGTCGACTTCAATCTCGCCTTGCCGTCCTTCGAGCCGAACATCCGCGCAACTAGGGGCCTCATCGACTTTGCTCTGACGTCTAAGCACGGGGCGCAGGTAAAATTCGTGTTCACGTCGTCGATTACGGTGGCGCAGGCTTGGGACGCGGCAAAGGGGCCATTCCCGGAAGAGATTATACCGAAGCCTGACGCTGCCGTCGGGGGCGGGTACGGCGAGGGGAAGTACGTCGTAGAAAGAGTGCGTCGTAAGCTGAAATTATTGTGGTGCGTGTGCTAATGCGAGAGGGTTTGTAGGTCCTCGCTGCGGCTGCTGAGGAGACTGGCCTGCGGAGCACGTCTCTGCGCATCGGACAAATTTGCGGCGGGGAACCAGACGGCGCGTGGGCGACGACGGACTGGGTGCCCATACTATTCAAGTCGAGCTTAGCGCTCAGCTGCCTGCCTGACTCTCAGGGTGTGAGTGCTCTTCTCGTATCACCCGCGGCTTCGAGTCTGACATTCCGTATAAGACTGTCTCGTGGCTGCCTATGCAAGCGGTGGCAAGGACCGTTCTGGACGTGGGTCTCGCTGCGGGGGAGCCGCCGCTGGCTGTTAACGTCGTCCACCCGAGGCCGGTGAAGTGGACGGATATTATGGTGGCTATCAGGAAAGCCTTGGGTCACTCCTCTGAGTCGCTGGCCCTTGTATCGTTTAGCGAGTGGGTTAGCCGCTTGGAAAAACGAGCGGCCAAGGCTGAGACGAATGGCCATGGACTTGTGGTGAGTAAAGACGTGTCAGGCGTCGAATGTGTTTCTGACAGTGTCGTGCAAACAGCCCGCCGTCAGGTTATTGGAGTTCTTTCGCAAGCATGCGGCTGCTGACACTGCAAAGGCGAGATTGAAAGGTGGTGAGGCTGGAGGGGTCGCTACATTCTCGACTGAGAAAGCGCAGGCTCTGAGCCCGACTCTGGGGCAATTGGCATGTCTGAATGAGCAGGACGCTGAAAGGTGGGTGAGGTACTGGAAATCGAAGGAGTTCATGTAAATGCAGACCATGTGGTGGACTTGCTTGTGTAAATTTAGGTGTATTATGATATATGCTGCTCGGCCATGGTACATTGCATCGAGTTTGCTCGCCTGGTCAATGACCGTCAATCCCAGTGTGGCTCAAGAGCGATCGCCGCTGTCCACGTGCACAGAAGCAACGGATCCGAGGCATCGGCAATCTCGGTGCACGCCTCCGTTGCTCGCCATTGGATGACCAAAATCCTAGATTTCGCAGTTCTAAACGCCATCAGCGTACCTGGTCACACTCGCTGCCACGGTGCAATGGAAAAATAAAACCGTTCCTCCCATCCGTAATGCCAGAGAATGCCAGAGCAACGCTCGACGACTGCAAGTCACGACCATGAGTTCGCTTTCCATTTATGGCGAGCGGATCGCTCAATTTAGCAGGTGCTGATGGCAGATTTGATACGCGGACCTCAACCGAGGGCCGAGGCTAAGCGAGCGTTTAGAGTCGTCTGGAGATTTGGAAAGGGCGGTCGACCCCCCCCCTGCTAGATTTAAAGTGTAGAGACGGTTTTTGCTCGACGAGCCTCATCAAAACTTGGTCTAAGCGAGAGCGTGACAAGACGGCATCTCGGCTTTGATGCGTTTAGAGATTTAGAACTGCTCAAAACGCGTTCTAAATGCTTACGGGGAAGTCATCCGTTGACGAGGCCCGGGGCATGCAGAACTCGCGCAGTTGCTGGATTTCCTCTGCAGGCTATGACGTTTGCTATTTGAATATATTGTAGCTCTTTCCTGTCGACGTGATTGAGACCTATGGCATATGCATCTCATTCGAAGCAATAAATAAATATTTAGCAGATGTTACATTATACACCCCACTCCAGTCCCCTCGAGTAATGCGATATATGATCATACAATGCGCCACGGAAACCAATTAGTACACGATCGACGCCGTCTTGCCCTTCCACGAATCCCAGTTCTTGATGATGTCCTCCACAATGAAATGCGCGACGTCCTTGCGCGAGACCGTGTACGCGCCCGGGATAATCGTATCCGACGTGCGGTACTTCTCCTTCGCCGCGCCGTCCGTGAGCAGCGCCGGCCTGACGACAACCACCTCGTCCTTCAACTCCCCCTTCCCTGGTAGCCCTGGAGTCGTCTCCCACCCCTTGGGCAGGATATGCCCCTCGGGCTCGGGGTCAGCCCACGCGCGCCCGGTGGTGTGTGCGAGAACGCGCTCGGCGCCGAGCTTGTCCTTGTGCGGGCCGTCGAGGAGGTAGCCGTACATGAGGCGCATGGCCAGCGGGAGCGCCTTGTGCGAGGCCTCGTCGAGCCCGTTGGAAGTGATCGCGATGATGTTGGGCCGGGACGAGGTAGCGGGGAGGGTGGTGAGCGCGTTGAGGAGGGAGGCGGTGCAGAGGTTGGGCGGGGTGATGAGGAAGCCTTTGGTGAGTGAGAAGTGCGGGGTGCCGCCTGCGTGCGGTATTGTCAGGGGGAGTACTTGACGAGGTGTGCGGTCCGGGTACGTACCGACTGTGAAGAGGAGAAAGTCCACTTGTCCTTCGCGCTCGCCCTGCCCGGCTACTTCCCATGCGCGCCGCACGTCCTCCTTAACCAGCGCGTCGCCCTTGACGAGCCTCGCTTTCCCTGATGCGATGTAGCCCTGGATCTTTTCGTCGTTGTCGAATACGGATGGTGATCTGAGCAGGAAGGTGATCGTCGCGCCTTTCTCTGCGCAACAGGATGAATGAGACGGCGTACGCTGGAGACAACAAAAGCTACTGACCTAGGAGACGAATCGAGGCATAGTAGCCAATGTTTCTCGACGCCCCGATGGCAAGTATCTTCATATTTGTGCTGATCATAGTGAGGAGGGCTTGGGAAGTGTAGTGGACGGATGGGGAGTGTCGTTGGTGGGTTAGCCTGCAGCCATGGCGCCCCCTTTATACTGCCTGCCTCCTGTCCCCAGTGAGCCGGCGGTCGGCATTAAGTTGTGTATTGAAGGCCCTAATCACAATCGACACCAGCTGTGGCAAAGATCTGCAGGCTGCGCTCCGCGGATTTGAAATACGGCCATTCTTTCGCAAGCACCGCCACCGGAACGCGACGCGCTTGTGGCTGGCTGCTGCGTTCAACTTGCGCGCTTGGGCGTCGTGCGGGGCAGCACGCAGCTTTATCAGACACAGCCCGACGCCAGAGGGAGTGATTCGCGCAGTCAACGCGACTGGTATGTTTTGATTTGTGATGTTGCCAAGTACAAGGGTCAGCACAAGGTTACACGTCTTGATACGACTCGGAGACTCGACATACGGCACAATGACCCAGGTGAGTATGACTCATGTTGCGCTCTCTGGGCGGACGGTTATATGATGATCAATGAGTCAACTAGGGAGTGTTTCCGCTGGTTTGTCCGTTCCTCGCGGACGACGAACCGCTTGCGTGCACGTATGTATAGGCCCTGATGCGTGAAGTTTACATGAAAGTGCTGCTGCGCATCATGTCTTCTGCATTGGTCGTGTCACCCGTGCGAATCACAATAGTGCGAAATATGGTAGCCCAAGAGAGGGACGAGTGCGTTTACCCGGCCCACATCAGGGTGGAGCAGGCGCAAGTGAGTCTTCATATCGTTCACACTTCGCACTCCCGACTGCCCACTTATGAAGAAGCTGCAGATTCGTAACTTCCGATTCCATTGATATTTTATTTGTCGCTAAACGTGCAGACCTCAATGACTGCGCTGTACGAGTGAGTCCCCTCTCACGATAGCCCCGTTCTGAAACGCTGCGCACGACGTCGCCGCCTTCGGGGAAGTGCTATACAGTCCCGGCTCCACTTCGTCACCCCCATTATTCCCCATCCATTTCTTTCAATGACAGGGACACGTGCACAACTCAGGCGAGGACGCCGGAGCAACTTATCGTTCATGAAACACAACAAGGGCTGCAGAGCATGGATGGTTCTCTGAGGTGCGATGGGCTGAAGCTCTCGCACCTGCCATCCAGCCTGTAGCACATCTCGAGAATCGCAAAGGATACATTCTTCTCCACGGCCCTCGATCGATACGATGTACCCTCCCCGACAGTCACAAGCGCACGCATCAGGCTCTAGCCTGGTAAGGAGTCCAAACGTCCTACTGTTGGAGACGTACCAGATATAACACGGCAGCGGGACAGGTATGTGGTTCATATTGATATTAAAGAGCGGAGGTGCATGCAGAACTAGGAGGAACAGTGGCTGGCGCGAAAGAGGCTCGCAACACATCCCCGGGTCGAAGGCGCGTAGTTTAGTAGACACCCGGGAGAGAGCGATTGCGAGACATGCGACGACGGCGGACAAGAAGGTGAGATGCCACCAGAGCTCTGTCTCTCTTATCATGACCGATACGATCAACGAAAGCGTAATCCGGCCTAGGTACATACCATTGCATATCAGGTCATCATGTGGGCAGAGAATGCTCCCTGGCGAGATACTTCGCGGTCTTCTTAGCGTACCACTCTCCGGCAGTAAACCCAGGAGACAGTTTCTCGCTGCCAGACGCAGCCTTGGCCGCACCAGCGATCAAGCTGCTCTCTTCCGCGAGAGGCCTGAGCTCGACGTCATCAGCGGGCCTCGTGAAATACACGATGGACCAGCGCTCGTGTTGCGCCTGTAGACCCGGGGGAGGGCTGGGAGCGGTGAGTGCGCTATAATACGTGCCTAGGAGGGTATACGCACAGGACTCGATGCACGCTCGATCGGAGGAGGCCACCGCTAAAGAACTCCAATGCATCCCCGACGTTGCATATGATATGTCCCGGTAAAGGCTCGCGTATTCTGTGAGTACCTGATGCATCATATAGTGCAGACAGTTACCTTGACATATTTCCATGTGCCGTCCGTTGGACAAAGGATTTGCAAACCGCCAAGCCTGTTGAAGACCGCCGACTATCATCCATTAGGGAAGCACTGATCACAACATTGCAGCACACACAAGTGACCCAAAGTCCGTATGTGCCCCAAGCGCTATCCGACCCGACTCCTGGCACGGAGAAGTCCTCAGGCAGCGCAGCTCCGAGCAGCTCTCTGCGCCCGCGGCATACGCATGCAGCCGCGCCAACGTCCCGTTGGGCAGCTGCAGCTTCCCGGTGAGTGCTGCCAGCATCGCGAGGTTCATCGCCACGCAGCCGCGCACGAGCGGCTGCACGACGTCCTCCATTGCCTCGCGGAGCGGCGCGGGGTACGTGCGGTGGACCTGGGTGGGGTAGGCGAGGACGTCGTCCTGGCTGATGTTGATGAACTCGGTTATGTCCCTGGTGCCGTGCTGATCTACTGGGACGGTGCCCTTTGCTTTGTAGCTGCGACGAATTCAGAATAGTACTGCGTCGGTGACCAGGGCTCATGAGAGATATACAGACCCATGCGCGCCTCGGTGGTCGCGTTGCAGGAGTTCTAGCTTGTCCTTCAACGGCAAGTTGAGTACCTTTTCCGCGGTTCTGAACATTGCATTGACGAGTAACTCCATCCCATGATTCTTAACACTGCGAACAATATTTGCACCGCTTATCAGCAGGCGCTAGGTGTGACGTACTACCAGAAGCCTTGGGTGGCCGCTGCATGGTAGAGTTTCTCTATCTCTGAGGGTTCACCAGCTAGAAGCAGTTGATAGTCAATTATGGATAGTTGTTCTGTCGGAATATCGTCTGGAAACGGAGGGATGTCAGTACAGTTGTGCATAGGCATAGAATGTACTGGCGCCGCAGCAGCTGGAGGTGTTGCTCTAAGTTGGAGGGAGCACCACAAACCTTATAGGTCGTCCTTCTCACAAGCAGCACTAACATTGCCACCTTCTGTCCACTGTGGACTCGGAACAGATGGTGGCGAACTAGGGCAGGCCCCGGGCCGTAACCCGTTCGTCTTGATTCGGAGCTCGAATGTATGGTTGGAGCTGCTAGCATGCTAGTGGGCGACTCCTTACCCTCCTTCAAGTTCCCAAGTATCTGGAAGTCTAATGGCTATCCAATGTAGGCCCCAGTTTCATGCTTTTGTAGAGAGGCGAAATGACCCAGTCGCCATTATGATCGCCCGCGACCACCATTCCGAGCCCTGGATACTGACAAGCATTATCATCGCTGCAGTTGAAGGTGAGCATGAATGGCACTGGATGATCCATGTTTAGCACCTGCGTGTCGCAGATATAGATAATGCATGCTGGGATAAGCTTGTAAGACTGACACCGGTTCATGAGTGGTCGGAGTGCCGCCTGTCCCCGCCTTCAACAGGAAGCCCATGGACCTATTCGAGCTCGCTACCAGTATGATTACTGAGGCACTGAGGCCTCACACAGGAGGCTTTGCAGAGCTTACGAGCGGCCTCACAAACGCATGCTACTCCAGATGTGCGTCCTCTCACCGAGCTTCATCATAGTCGTGCAATCTTGTGGATGTCCCTCCCGTATTTGACCCGTTGGCCTACATATACTCCGATTAGGCTATAGGTATGAGATGGTCGGGGGATAATCTGGAGAACTCATTGTCTGCCCATATCACCCTTCTACAGGCTTGATTCCCCTGATTGCTGCCAGGCAAGGTGTAAATTCAGCGGTTGACCAGACTAGCTGCGAGTTCTGCTCCCTAACCCGATCCTGGGGAGCTCGAAAGGAAAGGGAGACCAGAGTCTCTCCTGGTCGTACGCCTCTGGTTCGATGGTGACGTATTTGACTTGGCGGCATTTCGACACGATATCGGTGGACATCCACTTCGGCTAGCTCGATGTGCCCGGACTAAACGACACAAAGGCGTCCCTTCTGATGTGTTTGGTTGTCAGCGTCGGTCCTCAAAGGATGTGATGCGTCCATAAGTCTCAGGACCCTTACCGCACATTTTGGGCACTAGCATTGTAGCCTGGTACGTGATTGTCTATAGAGCTGCGAGGTCTAGACGCAGGCGGCAAGCTCTGTCGCAATATTGGAGCGCTTAAGGAAGACCGAAGTCGTAGGGCAGGGTCTTCCGTTACAAGCTCATGATCATGGTAAGTGCCACGGATGTCAAGGATCGTCTTAACAGGTCCTTCAAGCGTAGGTGTGTCGCCCGGGCCATCCTGTACATTCCACGACAGCACATATACAAATTGGCACACTAGTGAGGGCGGAATAGTACACAGCAATACAACTATCCAATACAACCCTGACCGGGGTCCGTGAGTCCATATCATCGTTATTGATACATGTCCGTAGATCCAAATTCAACTGCAGGCGAAATGTGAGTCAGGTGGTGAGACCATATTTTTATCGGAGCACTGACCTTCCTTCGTAGATCCATTACAATCCGCACTGGGAGACATCGACCTGGGTCACGGTGGCGTCAACGCGACCCAGGAATTCAGCCTGGTTATCCGTCAAATCATTCATCGCCTCCAAGGCGATGTTGAACCCATTATCCGTATGGTCTATCGCGAGCACCGTGATCGTCTTCCCGTTATAGGTCAGCTGCCAACACGTCCCGCACTGCGCTGAGTTCCACCCCGCCACCGCGGCGGCGCCACCGATGTACGGGAAGTCGGGGATGGAGCCGAAGGTCGAGAGCCACGGGTACTTCGAGAGGAGCCCGTTGGGCCCGTTGGAGCAGGCGACGGTGTTGAGCGACTGCCCGCTGTTGTCGTAGGTCTGGTCGTAGGAGACGGTGACTGCCTTTGTCAGGGGCAGGAAGACGGCGGCGAGGGCGACGAAAGTGGAGATGAACTTCATATTGTGAGTGGTTGATTAGCGGAGTCTTTCGCTGTGGTGGGGGTAGTAAGAACTGTGCGTTTTCAGTTCTTGCTGAGGTCGATGCTGTCAAGGTGCGTCCTTTTATGCCCTATGAACTCGGCATCCGTTAGCCGACTTCGGGAGGTTCAGCAAAGTCACTGTATTGATTTTTTGTCCTGTGAACACGACCGGTCATTCACAGCTTCATGTAAGTCACGTTCTTGCACCGAAACACATACGGCGGACAGAAATCGCCTACCGGAAGTCATCTAGAGCCAAATGCTGGACCAATCCGTGGGGGTCGGATGGGTTGGGTATCCCGCGTACCCAAAGATATCCCTTGCCTGCGGGTATGTCTGCCCGCCAGTGGTAAATCTGAGCTCTGCCATCAATATTGCGGGAACTCATGACCTAGATAGCGTATATCGAGAGTACCGCTCACTGTCTCGGCGAGCCTCACAGGGTCGACATCTCTATCCGAGAACCACTTTTACGTCGTCAGCACAGTCCAGCCACAGAGCATACAAAATCGGGTTCTATATGCGGCTTTAGGAAAAAACATGACCCGACCGAGTCTGCCACAGTACTCGCACCGGCGAGCAGTGGAAGGCGACGCGGTCGACCTAATATGTTTGAGACGAGGAGTGAAGCTGTCTCAGAGAAACGACAGAGTATACCTCGAGCAGCTAAGAAAGTATATCACATTGTCAGACTCGATATACTGTGCATTCCCAGCGGTGTGCATGTCGGCTGCAGCAAATGCGGAAACAAATCTACCGCAATTGCCACAAAGCCAGATCCATGCCCGCGCGGATATCAACGCCACTGCTGAACGCATATACTCATCCGAAGGTCATAGACCCTGCACCTCTGTTGACTGACGCTCACCACGTATCTACCACTCATACTCCCCGCTATCATTCCAGAAAGTCCCGCTCTTACCCTTGATATCATCCAGCGCAAGCATCACAGGGTTCACCGCGCCCTCCTCGACCGTCTTCGGCGCGCTCGGCCCCGCCATGTCCGTCTTCACCCACCCGGGACACACCGCGTTCACCAGCAATCCGTTCTTATCCCGCGTCTGATGCGCGAGCGCGCGCGTGAGCGCCGTGACGCCCATCTTGCTGGTGGCGTACGCGCTGCCGTACCAGCCCTTCTCTTTCCAGGTGCCGGCCTTGACGTCCGCGCGGAACTCGGCCATGAGGGCGTCGACCTCAGGGACGGCGCGTGCGTTGCGGAAGCGCGCGGCGAGGTCCGGGGAGGAGAGACGCGAGAGGACGCCGCCCATGCTGGAGACGTTGATGAGGCGGCCGTGGGTGGGATTCAGGAGGGGGAGGAAGGCCAGGCACATCTGCGGTTGCGGAGTTAGCGCATATACCGACACATTCATCTCTCCTAGTCCTACATACCTCCTTCGTTCCATAGTAATTTGGTGCGAGCGTGAACTCTACAATCTGCTCGTCGAATGCCGGGCCTTTGGTCGCGACCGCCGCATTATTGATCAGGACATCTATCTGTCCGTGCCGCTCCTTCATGGACTTGGCCAGTGCGTGGATGGACTCGGTCGAGTTGATGTCTAACGGGTGGAATTCGATCTTCACCGAGGCAGGCGCGGTGTTACGGACTTCTTGCAGGGCAGCTAGGCCGCGAGATTCGTCGCGGGCCGTCAGCTTGATATAGGCGCAGTGCTCGGTTAGTTCATACTAAACAAATGTGTAACTGTACAGATTCACATAGATCAGCAAGCTAGAGGCTCCCGTGGTTTGCGCGAGGTAGGAGCCTTCGAACCTTGCAGCAAGCCGTTCTACGATGGCCTTTCCTATCCCTTTGTTCTGAATGAAGTATTCATTCGGTTTATTGGTGCTATCAAAGGTGATGGATGACATACCGCGCCTGTAACAATTGCAACAAGTTCCTTTTCAGCCATGGCAGCAGTGGATGTCGACAGCGATGAGAGTCTTGTACGGTGGACTTGTCGATGAGTACCTCCCTGCACGTCGTCACAGCCGTCTATTTATGCTCTCGAGTCCGGCGTCGAGCGTCGTCATCGTACCGGGATGGCGCACGGCTCCGAGACTCGTATCCTGCTGACAGAGACCGTCGGCCTTGGTCAGCTGCATCGTAGTCCCCTCCATCGTGTACGTGTGCCAGGGCGTCCAGTGGTTGCCCACTACTAGTAAATGTCCGATTTGGAGACCCCAAGTACTCCGGGATGGATGGGATATTTCGCCGTTTGGCTCCGGCATGAGGGATGCATTTTCCATATTATGAAGTTCTGCTTGCTTGTGTTCGCTGCGGTTCTCTTTAGGTTTTCTTCGGCATCTCGTGAAATCAGATAGACTTGAAATACCTGATAGCATCACCGCTATATTGAGAAATGCATTTGCCATTTATGGAGGTCCTATTTCCCCATCGAGATATGTTCAAGATCGTTGGCGTTGATGGAGTATGGTTTTCTCTCGTCCTCACGGAGAGCTACTAAAATGCGGTACTATACGGCGCTATCTCGACATCCACACAACAACTAGCATTTATGGCAACAGAGAGCGTTCAGCTCGATTTTTGCCGCAGGATGGACCTGTTGCCGACGGCACCGCTGTCAAGGCCCCGAGAACCGCCTGTAGAGTACGTCACACAGTGTGACTATGGCACAGGTTGACTTGTGTTGTCTATAACTTCTTTCGGATGGGAACCTAAGGTCCAAAATTTATATAGATGTGTTCTTGTATTGTATATGAACTATACTAGATACTAATATTGAGCGCCGAAGTGTTATGTGGTATGCGACATCGAGAAGATAATATCATGAGCCATCATAACATTCGGAGACGTCCGATGCTATATCTCACGCTACTTTACGCTCAATTCAGACTCAGCGAGCTCGAATGCACATCCTCGCAGAGGTTACTGCTTGTGCTGTAGTCCCTTTATACGAGTATAACCGCCGATAACACTTAGTTTACAAGTGTCCCATTCAGAAAAAAGAAGCCAATCCAGAAAGAGTCTGCAGGAAACAGAGTGATACCCTCCAGAGATTGGCGAATGCCCTTCATGTCAGGTCCGTCTACTAATACATCGTGTAACTGAGCATCTCTTAGTCAAGACTCTGTTCAACTATTAGGGAGCCCCAGTACTTTGATATTCATACA